ATTTTAACCAATCAGAGCATAAAAATTGGACGGGGAGCGTGACCAACACGTGACCATGGTAAGAAAAGGTCTTCCCCGCCTGTATTTAAAAAAACTGGCTGAATTTTTGCGTCTGAAGTCAGTTTGAAATCAAAATCTTAATAGTACGGGGCGATACTGACATAAACACAACATATTTGATATGAATTTAAAACAAAAGTAAACGTGAGCCTGCGATCATTTGAAAACGAGTAAATTGTCAGCGGATAACTTCAAAAAAATACTCGACCTCGATGGGTCGACACCTGAGCCCGCGATTCGGTCAGGTGATAATGGTCAGCGGATACCCTATTTTGACAGCTGTCAATTGATGACAACATTGATGTGCAATCAGCTTTCTCCTGGGCTTCCAAAGTAGCTAGAAAGTGTGAGAGTAAACATTGGTATGCCTGTGGTGCGGACGGACGGTCGGTCGGTCGGTCACGTGATTACCAAATTTTCTGGGATGGGTAGATTTCCTTAGCTATGGGGCTCCGCCCACACGCGCGCTTCGCGCGCGTGGAGCTCCGCTAATACTGCAACATATTGCCTTCTATCACAGGAACAGTGACCTTCACACTCTGAAAGACTGGTACAAGGCAAGGAACACTTCAAGAAGTATTGAATTTCTGTCCAGAATTAGTACCTGTATGTTCGATGGAGAAATGGCAATTTTAAGGGTGGCTGATACCTTAAGTTACTGTATGCATTATTTTAAACTTAAATGATCACATTTCATTTACCGGCTATCAGTGTTGCGTGGCATTTGCAACCACGCCAGTGCTTATAATGGTACTTCACTGTGTGAAGCCAATAAGACATCAACAACGTTTCACTCGTAAAACTGGCACGGACATGCAGTAAGTGTGTAAAGCCTCTAATGAGATAAAATTGAGACCATGCAGAGAGGCATGTAAAAGTATGCTTTTCATATAGCCTGTCTGCTAACTGATTTTCGAGTACACCTATAAGCATATTTAAGGTATACTTAAAGTATACTGTAGGGTGTTCCAATTTCAGGTGGGTTGTAGTATACTTGACTATACTTGAAGTATGCTCACAAGTATACTTCAAGTATAGCGTCTCATCACTAACTTAATTCCTACAAAAAGTATACTTTCTGTATACTTTTTGCAGTATACTTTGATTACACAATATGTATACCTCAAGTATACTATACTTTGGTAAGGGTTAAGTTTTGCAATCAATCTATTGTTATTTTTAGACTGGACAACTTGGACTGAGTGCTCACAGAAGTGCCATATTGGTACAAGGACAAGATCACGTACCATTACTCAAGCTGCAACTTGGGGTGGTGATTGCCCGTTTCACCTGAGTGAGATTGAAGTTTGTGGTGCAGTTAATTGTGGCTGTCAGCATAATTGTGATCCCCAAACTGAGCACTGCTCTTGTCTAGCAGGTTATACTGCATCAGGTACACTGAACACTATGCACTAAGATATTGTGCTCGCAAGTTAAGTTTGTTATTTAGTGCCTATATTATCGAAATTCAATGATATAATGAATTTGATTTGATCAAAAAGTTAAACGCTAAAAGATTTTTAAATACATTTAAAAAGCATTTAAAAAAGGTGAACGACGTTTCGGCGCTGCGTTACGCCATTATCAAGTTGAAAAGTGAAAAAGTATAAGGTGTAAAACTAATATATAAAATTTGAAACAATACATAAAATATTTGCGGGTCCAATGGGTATAATTCCCAAGGTAACAAACACAATAAGAGAAAAATAAAAAACGTACGAAAGTGTCACGTAAATAGTTTGGCGCGAATGCAGTCGGCTTGCGTGTTAAGAGAAGGCTTGGTGTCCTTTATGTATAACATCTCGTAGACTAAGGAATCAAACTTGCTGTTACATTTCTTTAGAACTTTGAAAAGATGGTCAGTCTTTGTTCTGTTGTTGCCGTGCTGTGTTTCAAGGTGTTTTTCCCGATGGCTGAATAACGGTGTTCACTTATGCGTTGATTTAGGTGTCGGGCGGTGTACCCGACATAATTTGCATCGCACAAATCACATTGAAATAAGTATACAACGCATTGAGTGTGGACGATCGGGGGCTTGTTTTCCTTGACACTCAGGGTTTGTGACAGTTTTCTGCTTGTAAAATTAAAACCGGATTTTACGTTAACATCGATCTTGGCTCCCAGAGAATAGATATCTTTGCGTACGCGATCAGCTGATCGCTGATCTTTAAAGGGCAATACTATGTAAACAGATGGGTCTACTGAAGGCTCGGTGTGTATTTCTTTATCTGGTTCCTGACTGAACTTATTTATAGTGGAATCGACCAATGTTTTCGGATAGCACGGCTTTGAAAACATGGTGCGTAACTTGTTGCATTCTTTTGCAAAACCTTCTTTGGTGGAAGATAGACGGTACGCACGGTTAACCATTGTGTTGACTAGGCCTTTCTTGTATCTGCTGTCGACATGCTTTGGAAATGGAGTAGCAGTCCTGTGTCGGTTGGTTTTCTGTAGACTTCTGTTGTTAGAGTGCTACCACATCTTGTCAAAACTGTACCGAGGAACGGAATAAAGCCGTCATGTTCAAGTTCCATAGTCAAAGACAAGCCAGGGTGCACACTGTTGAGTACTTGAAGGAAATCTGTCGCTAGTTCTGTGTTGGACATTGTGACTAGAGTGTCATCAACATATCTTCGATAAAAAGACGGAATCATGCTCTTTTATTCTAGTTGGTTTTCTATATGGCACATGAAAACGTTAGCCAATAGTGGGCCCAGCGGCGGTGAGCCCATTGCTACACCATCCGTTTGTTCATACAATTTGCCGTTGAATTGAAATAGCTGGTTCATAGTAGCGATTTCCAATAGATCCGTCAGATGATGCTTTTCGAGTTGCATGCTATGCGTCTTATTGAACCAGTCACCCTCGAAAGCTTTGTCGACGATAATGTCAATAGTTTCTTTTAAAGGAACATTGGTGAATAACGCGGATACATCATAGGAGACAAGGATATGGTTAGGCTGGATGTTATTGCGGGCTCATTTTTCTATCCATTGAGGCCACTTAGTTTTTAAAGTTTTCCGCTGATATTTTATTTGATCACGGGCTCAATTCGAAGCCCATAGCTTAGAAAATCTATCCACCCTAGAAAATTCGGCAATCACGTGACCGTACACCGACCACCCGAATATCCGTCCGTCCGCAACACAGGCATACTAATGTTTAATCTCACACCTTCTAGCTAGTTTGGGAGCATGCAACCTGATGTTGTACATCCATGTTTTGATTAATTGACAGCTGTCAAAATAGTGTTTCTGCTGACCAGTATCGCCTGACCGTATCGCGGGCTCAGGTATCGACCCACTGAGTTCGAGT